ACTCATGTTCCTAAGATTTTTGATAACATTTCTCCCCCAAGCTTTTTGGGGGCGGGTGATAAAAGCCACGGACATTTTCCCTCGGGGGGCCGCCAAAAATCCGAGATCCCCGGCCCGCTCTGTTAATGCTCTTTTGGAAAACCCATTATCCTTGGGGGGCACGCCAAAAACTTTCTTAGGGGTCTTGCGTGGGGGTTCCGTAAAACCAAAGGATAGTAAAGGGGACTTGGGGGCCCGGTGACGTACGGGTATCCCCTTTACAAATAAATGTTGGATTTAAACTTCCCCTCACGCCTTGACATAAATTCCGCCCACGTTTAAAAAAAAAAAAAAAAAAAATTTGGAAACCTTATTGTTTGAAGCACATAAAGGGTTTTTTCCCGTCTTTTGCCAGAAAACAAAAATACAATAATTTTTAAACACCCGGGGTGATGGACCCACACCACCAAAAAACGGCCCGATTGAAAAACTAAAATGATTATCAAAAAAACCCAGCTGTTGAAAGAATTATGAAGAAAGGGTTTAAGTACTATATGGAATGTACAGTAGTGGTCGTCCGGTGATTTATGGTCACAGGCGTGGAGGGAAAGGTAAGTCCAACATGGTGTGTATAGTAGATACTCCGTCGGTCACTCGGGCGCCAGTCCTTTCCTTTGTCTGGTTGTACGGAACCTCACGTCAATACCCCTTGTTAGCATCGTCCTCGTCGTGCGCACGGATAAGGTTCTCAAAGAGCATTAACAGAGCATGTCAGGGGATCTCGGAGTGTTTGGCGGCCCCAGAGGTGATGTGTCCTTGTGGCTCTCATCAGCCCGCCCCAAACGCATGGGTGAAAAAGGTTATCAAAACTCATTAGGAACATGAGTAAAGTGCTTGCCGAATGTACAACTAAAATTACAACCCTTGGTTAAAAGATGGTGGAGTGAAGAGAACATTGTTCTGCTGAGACTCAACCCCTGACATAGAAATTTACCCGCAGCACAGACGAGTAACATTTCCTGTGGGTGGCGTCTCGCAGCTAGATTCTACACATGTACATCCTCTGTTAACCCTCAGTGTCGTCGTCACCGCGCTGAGGTACACCAAGACAGCAACCATTCATTGGCTGGCTAAGCCTAAATGTCCAACAAAACTAGAACCATCGTCACACGAGTAAGCTCAAAATCTGACCATCACAAATCGTATTGAACGGAAAAAAAGTCCAAATGTCCACACCAAAAGACCCCACTCGCCTGAGTGCTGGGACCAAACAGATAACGATATGCCTAACGCAGGATGTTGAATTTTGTCGGGGTAATGGCTCGTCAAAGATACCTAACGTGCGAAGAAAAAGAAAGTACCTATTTGGGTGGTCACAAAAGTCCAGAATTCGCGGGCTGCTCCCCGCTGACTTCCGGAGGGCGCAGCCCTTGTCGAGCGGGAGGCCTAATACGGCTGTGAGGTTAAGCAGTTATGTGCAGGACGTGACGATTCCTTGGGTGAGCCCAGAACCAGAGCGCTATGTGCCGGCTCTGCAAAAATGGAAGCCTCCTTGGATGGCGGGAAATGCCCATGATCTGCCTCTGCCTTTCCTTGAGGGCCAACCGTTCCACAGGGGGCTGCCCCAAAGGGGTACTCTGGGGGCAATACCTGCGGAGAAGGAGACAAAGTGGACACCACACAAATCAGGCAACGTCTCGACCCACACAAAACAATTGCCACAGTCATCCTAGAAATAGGCCTGACGTCTTCCCTAGAAGTCGGAGTACATCTGCCCACGAGGCAAGGAACAGCAAAACGGTTGTACACACAAAACTCAGGTCCAGGTAAAAGCCAAAAGTCCAAGCGGACGATTAACCGGAACCTTCCGCCGGAATTCACAGCCGGTGAACGAAGAAGAAGAAGAAGAATGTACAGTGATGAAAAAAATGTCATTCATTCTCTTTTTATAACCTATTCTAAAGGAAGTGCAAAAAGTTTATAAACTGTTCGAATCTAAACGTGATAAAGTTAAATTACTTGATGATCTCACCTTGCTATTTCACTCGGTAAAAGACTGGTGTTGCCAACTTCTAAAGCTGATTTGCTCACTTGCCCTATAGAGAGCTATTTGGCTCCTAAGCCACACCTTGGATATTAAATCGAATCAAAAATTGATGATTTAAAAACAAAAGGACTGTTAACAGAGAATGAAGAGAAGAACTTAAGAAAAGGCTGTCAAGATTTCCTTATCTCATTATTGAAGCAGAGACTTCCTGAAAATCTAGATGTTTTGAAAAATATTTCACTTTTTTTCTGTGAGCAACATACTTCAGCCAATAAAGGACATAACTAAATGTTGTAAAGTTATGAAATTTTTAGGGGCTACTGATAATAGTGTCGCGGAAGCAGAATATCAGTTAACCAAAATAAAGTTAGCTGAATGGACAAACAAAACAGAAACTAAAGCGTTTTGGAGTGAAGTGGGGCAATTTAAAGATGCCTCATCAAACAGTCCATTCTGTAAGCTCTTTAAAGTGCCATGTCTGCCATGATACTACCCCACTCAAATGCTGACGTAGAAAGAGTTTTCAGTGCTAGGAATTATATCAAATATAACCTAAAAAACAGGATAAAATTTGACCGCTTAAATGCTATCGTGCCATTGAAATTCGGCCTGATGAGACTAGAGAAATAAGCCTACTGTTCAACTTATAAAGAAATTTGAACAGCTAAAGCATACCAGGGTCATTTGGGATCTGAAGCTTCAACTTCATTATCCAAGCTCAGTTTATCTTGTGGATCTTGTGAGGCAGACATCGGTGACGGTGAGGACATGATTATGTAGCGTAAGTCATAATAAAAGCTATGTAATTTTTGACTTTTACAATTTGAATGTTTTTTCTAGATCTTTTCCATGCAGATTTAGATCTTTTAAGATATTTTTTGACACCGTTTTGGATATTTTTTGTCAAAGAAAAGTGGCAACACTGGGCTGAACTCTGAAGTCACTTCCGTTTCCAAACTGATATAGTTGAAAGACCACATGTGCATTTTTACCACGAGATATCCAACGCTGCAAACGTGACCGTTTACAATTAACAGATTTGATAGCAATATTGTATTCACCATACTTAACACAGCGCAATGCCTAAATCAAAGCGTGATAAGAAAGGTAAATAATCGTAAAGTTTTATGTCCAAACTGTTTTATTTACTAAATTTGGATTTTAAGTTTTGTTGTTTTTATGATATGATACAGGTTTGAAGTAATGGAAACATAACGTCATCGACCATGTTGCGTGAGTGGTCAGATCAGGAATGGAATGAGAATGAAGGAAAAAATGGTGGCAGAAAGCATGAGAGAGAAGGACAATAATATACGCGATGGTAACAACAGTCCTGAAATCACATGCTGTAATTGTGGAAGACTTTTTAATGCGAGCGGATCCTGCTAGTTACAATTACATTCGCCATGGGCTGTAAGTCCCACGCCTCTCCATAGCACCATCGTCAGGAAAGTCGAAAAGATGCCAACAACAAAATTGTCTACAACAACAAGGTTACGCTATTTTAGCAACTCTTAGTTCTCCAGTGTGTATATGTCTGAAACAAAAATCACCATAAACTTATTTGTTCTCCTGCTTGTTTTTATTTTAGTGTCACTTACACAGACAAGGAAGAAGGGCCTGGAGATGAAACAGATTCTAATAGAAAAGGTAAGAAGTTGATCTGTTTTATTTTACTGGATAGGTACACATTCTGTCTGTATTTCGTATTTGTGGGTTTGACCATTGAGTTAATAACTTGTGTCAACTCCTTTCTACCAAAAAAATAAATGGTTGACACATTTCGTTTCTGGGAACAGCATTTATCTTGAGTTTGCTTTCTAGGTAGTTTGTGGGTCCCTGCTCATGAGATTCTGTCTTTCTGTGTAGTGGACCACCATGATCAAAACATTGCCAGAACAGTGTGCTCGAGGTTGCCAAAACTATTGCTTCCACGTGGCACGATTATAATTTAATAATACAACACTGCTCCCACTAAAAGTACAATATATCCTACATTGGGAATCTGCACAAAATAGCAGCTCATGGCAACGGCACAAATTAATCCCAGGAGAAATAGCCAGCAAAAAAAAAATAACTGGGCCACCGCTTTCTTGAAAATGGAACTTATTTGTGGGTTTGATGGGTGGTATATCACCATCAAGAAAGAAATACCATACCGGTTTGTAAAAAGTTTGTAGTTTTTTTTCAAAAGTCCCATAGAACTGTCAGTGAGTCACTGTGTTACTGTTGACTGCCATGTTATCACATCACAATTGGCATCACTGCAATCTGGGCATTCCTATGCATTCCTAGTCTTTCGATGCAACAGCCGCCCGAGGGTACCTCTACTGGTAGCATCTCCCGTCTTTACTTCGAAGGCACCGTGTGGGTTCAGGGGCCACATTTTGGGGCTTCCTTTGATAATTTCTAGCCTTCAGACGCACAACATATTGTTGGAGTATGGCATCTCAAATTAAATATATTTTAAATGTCCTTTTTATATAATTGTGATAAACAGATTGTGTAATCTTGTCTTTGTGAATATTAAATCTAGGAATATAAAAAAGTGAGGAGACAGGATAAGCATTTCATAAATGTCGACTAACTGGGAGCTTCCTTCAAAACCCTAGTGCATCTGCCACAAAAGCAAGGAACTAACAGTCTGCATACAAACAAGATCTGTAAAAGAGATGTGCACGCAAAACTCAGTTTCTGAACAAACTCCAGAAGTGGACGAACAACCAGAACTTGCAGCCGTAGTTTACAGCTGGTAAGCACTAGGAAGAAGAAAGTGGCAAATGAAAATGGCTTAGATGCATAAAAAGCAGTACTTCATTCTGATTAATTTGAAGTAGAAATTCATGTGAGCATTTAGCATATGGTAAAGTGACAGATAGCAGCCCTGAAATTTACTTAGGTGACAGTTTGAGGTCATTTATTCATTGAGGAAAGTTATTTTTAAACTTTTCTTTATTGATGTGCTTGCAGATTAGAGAGACAGCTGACCAGTATGCCAACATCTTTACATTCTCTGTTTACAACATGAGAAATGATAAGTTGAAAGAGATTCGTCAAGAGTGGAGTCACAGCAGGTAAAGCATGTTCAAAATACAAATATGTTCTTCTTGCACACAGTAAGAATAGACTCATATGTCCTTAAAGTGCACAGTAGCGATAGACAGATATATTCTTTATGTAAACTATGGTAATAGTAATTAAGGTTTCAGCTTCACTGCAGTCAGGTTTCTCCATACTTGTTCCGTTCCTATGCCAGTGACAGATGAAATTTCCCTCACTGTCTCATTTGAAAAAACTGGTGAACAATTAGTCGCAGAACAAACCAGAAATATGTGCACGCAGTAAATGCATATGGCACTTGCTAGAGATGCCACAGCCAACAGTCACCACCAGAAATGCAGTTTGTCATTGTTGGAGGTAGTCCAGCATAATAAGTTGGCTATACACACATATAATTATTACATACAGTATTTCGCCTGGTCACGCGTAAACTGGCTACTGGCCATATTGAATATCACGACACAACATTGCTAAAATGAAAGGGATTCCAATTAAAAAGCTCGCCAGAATCCAGAAGTGGACGAACAGTCAGGCCTTTCTGACAAGGTTTACAGCTAGCAAATACGTAGACATTAAGTATATACAAACACAATAAAATATGACAATTTCATCCTTTTTATTCCGTGGGAATGCAGGCTTTTTTTTGGCAAGAATAAACTCTTGCAGATTGCTCTCGGTAGCATAGAGGATGGGGAGTACAGAGAGAATCTTTCCAAGCAGTTGCAAGGTCAAACTGGTCTTCTTTTTACGAATAAAGGAGAAAGGGAAGTTTCACGGTATGTTCAACGTTATTGTGTTTCTTTGATTTTCTTTTGTTGCATAATGTTAGTAACCTACATTATGCTGATGATGTAGTTTTAATTACTAAACACAGCATATGGGTGTCAACTGGTCTATAAAATATAGGTCTAGCCCTACATGCCCAGTACACCTGAAGACATGGAAAAGGGGCCCTTACTTTAGCATACATAGGTTAATTTAAATGTCTGTATAAACTATGGTGCCATTTCAATGGTTTGATTTTAATTCTATCTCTATTCCTTAGTTGTGGATTTCAGACTGTGCGATAGACACAGCCAATTAAGACACCTTTTGTTGGGTGCCTATTTAGTCATGTTCTTAGTACACTTGTTTCCATAGCACATGCCATTTGGAGGTGATAGGTTCGATTCCCAGCACAGTAACTATATCTTGATTTTTATGTCGTCTAGTGTGTCCTACTATTTTTTTATGGGTGCCAATCAATATAGTATCTGTTTGTTTATTGTATAGATAATATTTTTACAACCTTTTCGGTTTCCCCTCCGTTTTTTCAAAGCATACACAGATATTTTTTCCAGTCTGCCATACCGCTTGACATGACTAAAATATTTCAGCTTCCAAGACAAGATCTGGTTATTAGCAAAAGTTCCTTGATGTTCAAATCTTTTAAAATGCCAGTATTTCTTCCTCTCTTCTTTGTTCAAGGTATTCTGAGTCTTTCTATAGCATTTACATTCATATATATATATATATATATATACTTTAAAATATCCATAGCAGCAAAGCTTCTGATGAAGAATACATATCTCGTACAGTTTTTACTGTACTGCTTGTGTTGGAAGATCATTCTACCAATTCCAGTTACATTCATCCCAACACATCTGACTTCTACATGTCTAATTAGTCAACTTTAACGTAGTGTATTGTTAACCCTTTCATCCTGAGAACTATTTTTAAAAAAAGGCTACGACTTCATTAGGAACCCCCCCCCCCCCCACCTTAAAATCAGTACCACGGTTTTTACACCAGTTATGATCTTTGCCCTGTGTGCCGCACCAGAAAAAATGTATTTATCATTTAAAAATTATTTGTCAATGCATGTAAAGATATATGAAAGAAGTAATCAATACCCAGGGTATTAAAAAAAACATGTATTGGGTAAATCATTTTCATGACTGATCTCTACCATTGAGGTGTTTCAGGAGCAGTGATCTGTTCTACTCAATCTCCCGAGAAACCACAGACACTATTTAAAATATTGTTTTGTAAATAATTTAATATTTGTCTGTTATCAGATACTTTGAATCGCTGTACAAACCCAGCTGCACACGATCAGTGGCAGCTCAGACAGTGGAGCTGAAGGAGGGTCCTCTACCAGAATTCTCACAATCCCCCGAGTCACAGTTGAGACAGTTAGGACTACCCGTACAGTTGAAGAGAGGTACTTGAAGTGTGGAATTATTTCATTATGTTAAAAAGTGAGTACGAGGCAGAGGGACTGAACCACACATGGTGCAGGACCAGGGCTCGTACTGGTCAAGATCTGTTCTACGCATCAGTGGTCATTCTTGAATTTTGGGTTCTAGAGCTCCATTTTGGACAACAGAGAATAGACCTACTGTTCCTTCCACCCAACAAGCATGTCATAGGAGTTGTCTAATTATGGGTGTTTTCTTGAAATCAGAGTGCATATCTGAAAGGCAAAGTAACCAACAGTCTGCATACAGACGAGTCAGATTTGTCAAACTGAATGCAACACTCGTGACCAAAGTTCCAGAGTTGATAACCATAACTTTCCACTTGAGTTACAGCTGGTGAATGCTAAGAAATACCATCTAGAATTGCAGTTGCATCTAGTGCCTCTAACAAACTGTCAAACATCTGGAAGTCAAAGACATTCAGCAATCATACAAAACTTAAGATCTGCAGCTCTTGTGTGGTTCCACTGCTAACTTATGATATTTATTATCCCATCTTCTACTTCTACCCCATCATCTTAAACAGAGGGGCCTATTCAAGAGATCTCTTCCTACTCTGATGCTGCAAGGCATTCAAGGAGTAGATAAAAAGAAGTTGACCATATGATTGTAGTTTATAAGCATTTGCAATATCTTAACTTATATCTAATTTTATTTTCAGCCCAGAAAGAAGACAAAGATGAAAATGATCATAGTTCTGCCAAGATGAAAGACAGTGAAGGTGAAGAAGATGAAGAATCTTGATTTTTTAATATGACTCAACTGTTGTTATTATACCCCCGCCCCCTTTTTTAAAATTTAGTTCACATTTTATTGCCATCAAATAGCACAGATCCAGTGACTTATAAAATAAAGTGTGAATATAACAAGGAAGGAAATGGCCATGCCATTGTAAAAACTAAATTTGTCTCTATGTAAATAAAATGTAACCCTGACAATATTGCTGATAAAGGATATCTGTCTTGTAAAATAAAAATAAAAACACTATGTGAATATGTTTTGTGTACATAAAGCCTATGTTTTTGACAAATACATAAAGAATTATATGTCTAATTTATTATTGCCTTATAAGTAATCATGTATGTAATGTTGAATATAGGTACTGAATTGTATATTGATAATAAATGAAACAAACTGAAAAGAAACTTGCTGCAATAAACAAATATATAATCTATAATATGGCTTCTGATTGTATGTTTTATTCAATGCTGTCTGTTGCAAGGGAGAGGTAATTACTACACAACTGGGGGGGGGGGGGGGGGGGGGGGGACAAACTAAAAAGGATGATGGATACACGTGTATAGAGGGGAACCCATGGTGGAACCACCAACTGACAGATGATATCCAGAATAGGAGAGATACAGCCATTGCCCCACCTACACCAAAGACGAGGATGCTAGGGATATAGAGAGAGAAAGGGTGGCCTACACACAATTAGAATGACAGAGGAAGACAGGACACCTCTATCTATGGGATGGACCCCAGACCAACACGCAGCCATTGATATTACTATAGGTTTGCAAAATGATGCCTCCAAAAAAAACCTGACTACTCTCTTTATGCGTCTTTAAAAAAAACCTGAGACAGTCCTGCAACAAGGTTACCCTTAAGGGGTGAACCAGAGTTATAAAAAGACGAACACCATTTACACTGTTTTTTATAAATCAATGTTTGTTTGTCACCTCGGAAGCTGAAGCTACTGAACCGATTTAGCTGACATTTTCAGGATTTGTTTGTTTTGATGCGGGGATACTGCCTGTCATATTTTTAAATTTTTTTAGGAAGTTTTCACAACTAATGTTTACATTTTAGTGACATTTCATTTACGCCATGTTTGTAGAATTGCATGCGCAGTGGTTGGGACACACCCTTCTATTTTTGTCATATTTCATAAAGGAGATAAACTTATTTCAGGCGAACGAAACAAGAAGACACGTGCGATTTCTTTCTTTTGAAAGATGAATATCACTTCTATTAGTGTCAGTATGTATGTCTTTTGGCATTGCTTTGCATCTGTGGACAGATTTTTTTTTTTTTAAATCGCTGCTTCACAATATTAGTATTTCAGAAAATCGCTATTCTTTGAAGGCATCAAAAATAAATTTATTGATGTGATCAAAGTTATTGCTCCAGAACATTAACTGCACCAACTAAAATTTTCAGCTAGAATGAAGGAAAAGATTGTGGCAGAACAAGGTTGCGCTTTTTAAAATAAAATTTCAAGCATGTGGAGGCAATCACTGCAGCTCTGAATTTGCAGAAGACAAAGTTACCAGAGGAATTATTGTGTCTGATTCTCAGTTGGCATTGCGGAAGGTTCAAAATGGACTAATGTGGCATGGGTGGATACCATGCATCAGTACGCCAACATTGAATGGAATCACGTGGATATACTGCAGGAGTATGAGGGAGTGAAAGAGCGGATGTTCTGGCTACAAAAGCAGGCAAGGGAACCACTCGTTGCTGGACAAGGGAGATATTCTGAAGACCATATATGAACGACTGTTGATAGAAGACAAGAGATTAGATTAAATAACATGTGCAAGAATGTTTGAACAAGGAATTGAGTGTGGATCCAAAAATGGGAGACGGATTAGAGGAAGAGATCAGCGTGTGTATAATCAGTGTGCCACGGGAACAGTTAGCATCTACACCTAAAGACATTTGCAGCGGGAGACGGATCATCTATACGTATGCCCGGTGTGCTATGATGTCAATTCTTAAATCAGTAATCAGTAAAACCACATCTCCGAGGCCTCAATAAATTGTTTGATTTATTTACTAATTATCCAGGATTCACAGTCATATGTTGAAACTGGCTTTATGTAACATGCAAATATTGTTTTCAAAACCTCCTAAGAGATGGATTTTTTTAAATTTTATTTAAAAAATGCAGTTTTGGTCTGTACTATTCTATTCCTTATCTCTGTGATTTTTCTTCTATCGGATATTAACATTGGGCCGGGTGTGCAGAGAGTGGCCAGCAGGTGCTACGGATGTTAAAGTCCGACAGTTGATTCAGGACAATTCACGGCAAGGTGATCTGATTATCTATACAGCTGGTTCAGTGTTGGGGGGAAAGAGAAGTGCCTGGGTGTTCGTAGCGAAAGCCAATGGAAAATCTTTAGTGCAAGACACCCTATCATATGACACCACAACATCTAACATGAGAATAGAGGTGAAGGCAGTAACTGCAGCTCTCCGGTGGCTAGAGAACAAAAAACAGACAAAGCATGCTGAAAAAGGTGACGACAGGGATGCTTCCAGCAGAGTGGCTAGTTTCACTGGAAAGGTCACGGGTGGTGAGCATACTTTGGATCTTTTCTCCAGGCTATTCCGGCGTGGTGGGCAATGAACAGGCAGACAGACTGGCTGGACCCGCACCACTAGGTGGTGAATTGATACATGAAAATGCAGATGTGGTCAAGGCTCTTTGGTAACAAGCAACGGGATCAATAGAGAAATAAAATTATAATGGCCTAGAGAGAATGAGGCACCTGGGTGTAACCAAAGGGTCTGGCCGGCTCACTACACTCAGAGGAAAGGAAAGATGGACTTTCAACTAGATTGTTACCGGTACCATCAGTATCGGAACTCTGCGCTGGCTGCTAAAGATGAGGACGGAGCATGCATGGGAATTCCCCGAGTGCTGTGATGTCAATTCTTAACTCAACTATACTCAATTCAACTCTACCGGATATTTTTCATGTGCCTAGCTACTTAAACTTATGTACTTGTCCTAAAATAACGCATTTGCTTTTATTATGCAGTAATACACCATTATTTTCTTCATTATTACCATTACTTATGTCTCCCTGTTATTCAAGCTGGGGCTTATTATATCACTATTTACCATTACTGTCTCTATCAATCGCTGTAGTTCTATCTGACTCGTTGCAGTTAAGACGATATCATCAACACAAAGACGATTGTTTATGCTGTGACCACCAACTACAATTTCTAGCATACCCATGTTAGGTCTCATATATTCACTGTTCACTAAAAACAAATCACGTGATATACATATCCTTGTACATCCCTCTGCATCTTCTTCTTCGTCTACTCCAAGATGCCTCGCAGCTTCAGGACAGGAAGAGATGTCTAGAACGGGCCCTTCTGTTCGCTTGTATAAAGTACTTTTTAGTGTCTCTGATATTTCAGCGGTCCATTTTCTGCGTGGTCGACCTCTGGCTCTCTTACCGTTCTATCTGTATAGTAAGCATTGCTCCTTTTTGTGCCCTGCCTGATACCAATCTTGTTACATGACCGAACCATTTGATTGGTTGTCTACGCTCTTTATGCTCTGAAATATTCCCAGATGGTTGGTAATTATTATAGCTGCTGTTTGCAGCCAATACTTGATTTTTATAACTCGTAGATTTTTTCAATCAGCGATTAATTTTTCTCTCCAGTAGTTAGATTATTTCTTCATGTTTCATACAAGTAAAAGTGTATGAAATAAGATAGTCTCCGAAAAGCTAGTGTAACTATAACGGATGAAGAGAAAACACTGATAAAAAAATTAATGTCCTTTTTAGCTATCTTCCGAATAACGGTCCCAAATTATCGAGGCCGAAAATATACCCTAACAGGGCCTAGGTCACATGCCAATTGCGGACTTCCGCCACCGCTGAGGGTATCCCCCACGTTACTACGCGGCGTATGTGTAAATCTGACATTCTCTCAATATGCCCCATTTCAGTCTTTTAGCTCTCATGATGCCAGTGATCAGTGGTGATTTAAGCATATTATGAATTTCGTTGTTTCCCCATTCCCCGCTGTTTGCATCTTTGATGGTCTAAATATTCGTCGCAATACTGTGTTTCCGAAAACCCGTATTAACGCTTTATCTCTTTTAGTTGTGCTCCAAATTTCAGAGCCATACAAAACGACTGGTCTTATCAGCGTTTTATATATTTTGATCTTGCTGTCGCGAGACAGACACTTTGACTTTACCAGATGT